GGGGGGGAGGTGGGGGGGGATCAGATTTCAGAGTTGAGAGGGATCTCTGTATTTGTTTTAAAGAATCTGAGTTAGTCTTAACAATTTAAGAAAGGGTCTTGGACAGACTAGAAATGTTAAAAAAAAACACATTGATTCTGAGGCATAGAGAAAATGAGTGAAAAGGTGGTAGGGGTAGGCCCTGCATAGCATCACTAATCTGTCTGGGAAATCAAGTTGGGGGATGTTTGTTTCCCTATGAAAGCCTATGCCAATCACCAATCACCACACACTCACCTGTTTTGGGTATGCAGTATATTTAAGTGTGCTGGTGTTCAGGTGACTATATGATCGTCATTGTATGGAATGTATGCATTCTAGAAAAGGGAGTTTCTCCCAAACCAATCCTGCATTTTCACTGATGCCCATTATTGTAAATGAAGATTTTTACTTGGGGATTTTGAACAGTCTTAATGACCAAGTGTTTCAGACACTGGTTCATGTCCTGTTCAATGCTAATTCTGTGGATCTGGAAAGCTGTTGAAGCCACCTGATATTTCATTCCTTCCACTGCAGTCTTCCTAATCCCCTTCCCTACAAGGGTCTTCCCTAGACCACAAGAACGTCCCTCGTGCCTCAGGATCCTGGGTCAGCACCCAGATTCCTGTGTTTTATTGACTTTCTCCAGCATTGGTGGGGTTACTAACAAAGCCAGATAGAGGGAGACTTGTAAGCTAGCATTCTGTACTTCAGCTGGAATATCCCATTAGCTCATGGCATTGGGCTCCAGAAAGGTTATTTCCCAACTTCAGTCATTTGAAATGCTAGACATCCCATTTCCTTACTGTGACTGACTTACAGATAAGCACTGCAGGGCCCTTCTGCACGGCTCCAGTAAAACCTGTTGTGTGAAGAAAATTGAGCAATGCCTCCTGCTTGTTCCTGGCCATGTTAGTGCTAGGCCCAGTGACGTTTATCTTTACCGCTAAACCTCCATTTTCAGAAGCACCTTATCACCTTTGTACTAACAGTAAAATGTAATGAGGGTACAGATGGCTCAGATTGTCTTCCACACACTTTTCTTCGGTTCATGTGGAAAGCACTGTCCTTAAAGAAATTCAAAACCACTTCCAAGCCCTTGAATTCACATTATTCCATTCCAGGATGATTACTCAAGGACAAACGAGCACTAAGACCGAAATCTCTTCTGAGAGAACCACACACCTGGTCCATTTTCCTGCTGCTGTGGGCAGGTCTGGACTCACAAGCCCTACTTTACCTTAGTGTTTCAACTCTGGCAGTATCTTGCTCAGGTCATAAGGGAAGACAGTTTTTCATTGGAAGGTTTATTTTCCTCACCAGAGTCTTGGCTGGCAAGATTTTTCAGTTAACTGGAGGCAGTTTCAGAGGCAGGATGTATAAGGCCTTTTGTTTGTTTTTCCTTTAAGAAAACAAGTTTGCAGTGCATGCCTGAGACAGGGCAGGAAAAGCAATCTGATATCTGGAAACATCAGAAAACATTTCTTTGGGGGCTGTTTATAATGTTGCTTTACTGCCTCACTCACTCAGTTCCAACTGATAAAAGGGTCAATTCCAGACCAAGTAGATACCTCTGTGTATCCTACATTTTGTTGTTCAGATGTGACATTTGTCCCAATACCTTAGAAGTGACAGTGACCATTGGCCAATTTTTCTTCTGGTCTTCAGTGTAGCTTTGAATCAAGTTTCCAACTAGGCAAGAATGAAACCAGGAAATAAATGTAAGAAGAGGGATGTCTAAGAAACCTAGTCTCCCTTGGAAGAGAAGAGGAAGCCATGAGAAGCGAATAATAGGTTTATTTGCATAAACACAGAAGAGTTAGCGCTGCTGGGAGAGGTGGGCTTGTGAGGAGGTAAGGCTTCAGCAGAGGAAGGCACCGTGACAAACAGGGGACTCCGGCTTAGAAAACCAAGCACAGTAGCAACCTTCGTTTGCCCCAAGCCAACTACTCATTTACTTGCTGTCCTACAGACACAGGAATCACAAAACCAGGTGAAAAATAAAGTGGAGAGAAATGGTTTTATATATCTGGACCAGCCACTTAAAATTTTATGTACAGGATGCAGAAAAAGACCTGAGGCACTTTTGAATAGCTCTTGATCTGATCAGTGCCACAGTCCTGCTGGTAAAAAGACCTCTCCTGGAAGAATCTGGAGATTAAATATGCCTCCCAAATTGGAGCCTCTATAACAGTGGTTCTCAACCTTGGCTGCACATTAGAATCACCTGGGAATCTTTTTAAAATCCTGATTTCTGGGCCCCACCCTCCGGAAATTCTGTTTCTTTGTTATGGGGTGGGGCCACAACATTAGTAACAAAGAAACAGAATTTCCGGAGGATGAGGCCCAGAAATCAGGATTTTAAAAAGATTCCCAGGTGATTCTAATGTGCAGCCAAGGTTGAGAACCACTGCTCTATACTATAGGCCTTAAGTTAGGGGTTTGGGCAAAGGGATCCTGGAAGTGGTTCCAGCCAGGTTTCCAGGATCACAATCACAGACAGATTTCTAGAAATGAGAGTGGAGTGGCCACAGAGACAAGCATTTCTCCTGCTCCTGTGGATACCCTGAGGGCCTATCTCCTGGCCGCTGACCCTGGGGTGCTGGGAAGGGTCTCTCCCAAGGATGAAAGGCATCCTTACTAAAAAAGGATCTTTCTTGGATACTAAAGTTGAACCAGAATAAACTTTGACTTCTCTTTTGAGTACCCAAATGAGATGAAGGCTTTTTAACATGAAAAGACCAAATTCTGCATTTGAGAACAGTAACTACCAAGTTCACAAGGGAACTTAAACCACTTCTTTATTCCCCAGGAAGATATGTGGATTATCAGAGAAGTCAGAAAAGGATACCTACTGATTAAATAAAACAAAAAGATTAGGTATGCTGACTAGGAAGGGGAAGAGAAACACACACTGAATGATTGTATCTTTTTTAGTATATAAAGGATTAAAAAATTCCAATTTAATAAATTTTGGAAAAGCAAATGTAAAATGACTTGGGCTTATAAAACCAGAATTTACAATTATCTGTGAATAGTCAAAGACAAATCATAAAACCATTTTGATTACAAATCCAAAGCAATTCTAATGGTTACAGAACCATTTTTATTCCCCCAGTGAGATTACAATTGTTAAATTGTAAGCATCCCCACTGCTACTCACACTCCTTCAGCTCCTTCTCCTAAGACAGTTTTCACTCCAAGTCACATCACACAGACCAGGCACATCTTTCCTTTCACAAAGCTTAGCAAGCTATCTCCTTTTGGCTTAACCAACAACCTTCTATTTATCAATAACCCGTCCTCCCCCAGTGCCTAAATCCACCCGAGTCTTCATCCTGCATAGGTTTTCTCCCGTTGGTCCCAGTTCCAGTAGGGCAGGTCCTCCTCTAAAAGGATCAGTGAGGCCACATCAGTCACTCATTGGTTCTTGCCTACACCAATGCTGACTGGGCTCCTAGTTGTCTAGCACCTTTGTGCCCAAGAAAGTGATTGTGTTCTTCTCTCTCTCTTCTTCATTTCTTGCCACTATTCTCCTGCCTTTTCATGACATCTATGACAATAAGATATCTGGTCATCCTTAGTCCTTCCTGTCTTGCACAACCCTTCATTGGTAACCAAGTGACTGTAACTACCATTGCAATGCTGAAAATCTCTTGGTCTTTTCCCCTCTCAATCTGTATGTACCTCAATGAAACAGAGTCTATTCTAGGAGCCAGGAGTCTTAAACCAGTGACTCCTCTCTCCACACACACTGCCTCCTAACAGACCTATGTAATAAGAATCTGTTACTTCAAGATGTCCGCTGCTCTGCAAGATCTAGTCAGAACACCACAGCCTCTGTTAATTGCAAGCCTGGGGGAAGATGCTAGGCCCACGAATTCTCACCAATCATTTTGGGCTGAATTAAATTAATATAGTACCACACTCTGCTCTTTACTACACTTTTAAACACACATATAACATCCACTTTAGTAGTTTGAGCACACAGTTCTTGACAGCTATCTTTCCCCCTTCTTTCAATATGCCTAGACGCCATCCCATAGGGCCAAGGAAGCGCCTGCCGGCCTTCTGAGTGTCTCTTAGAACTAAGTATCTAACTGGTTAAAGTGTTACCCACAACTAGTTATATTTTATGGCCTCCATATAGTATGTGTTGCAGCATCCCTCCATAGATCCTTTTCTGATGGAGAACTAAGGACAAGTCTGAAACAATGAGTTCACGCATACCCGTGTACACACACACAAGAACAAATCAAATGTCTCAACAAGGGTTTACTTTGACGGAATCTAATCTGCACAGGTACACTATACTCAAGTTTTACTAGAAAGGAGTCACTTGGATTTTTCCCCTTTCTTAGCACAGCACAAGCCAATGGACAACTAAACATCAGACCCATTATTGAACAGAAAGGAGCAGCATCAGACACAAAATTCAGGCCCTGGTTTTATGTGCCTTTAATACTTTTTTTCCTTTCCTCTGTATTCACTAAACAGGATTAAAAATTTTTTTGTAAAGCTCCTTTTTGTAGCTTTTTGTTTTCCCTTTGTATTTATCATGTTTTTAGTTTCTTCTCTGAGGAGGAATTCTCTGAATCTGTATCTTCCAATTCGACTCGGTGCCTTTTGAGGCCACCATGGCCATGAACAGCCCTGCTGCTGTCTATGCCTGGGGAGTCAGTGGGGTCCTCTCTCATTCCAGCACTGGGGGTCTCACAGGCCATTTCAGACCCACAACGATCTTTGTGTAGGAGTCCCCCTGTGAAGGACAAGTTATGGTCATTGTCTGAATGTCCTGGAGAAGAGCAGGCCACTGCTTCCAGCTCCCCAAAGTTCTGTCCATTGTTGTGAGGGTGAGGGGGGCGAGGGTGTAAGCGTCCATTATTGTGGTTGGCACTGATGGTTTCGAGGCTTCTCTCTTCACTGTCGTCAGATTGGGTCCTGGGACAGTTGCCAGACTCACTGTTGAGAGTAGAGCCAGATGCCTTGGGGACAGGAGGAGAAGGCGGCTCCTCGGCCCGGCTGCTCAGGGCCTTGCTCAGAGCCTTTCCACTGAGCTTCTTGGTTTCAAAAGAGTGTTCTACGGAGCCACTGTTGTTAGTGTCCGGAGCGGTGTCCTCTGGTGCCTCTGCCCGAGAGTGGCCACTGTGCTCATGGCCTGGGGCAATGCTGGGATTTTTAGCAGAAGTTCCTTCTTTTAAAGCATCCTTGCTGCAGCCTTCAGGGGGTAGGTCCTGGTTCCTTTGGGCCCCCAAGGTGTTTAGACAGGTTTCCTTACTGGAGGAAGGGCCTGGGCTGTCCTTATGGCTGGTTCCCGCACTCCCTTCGTCTGCTTTCCCAGACACCAGGGAGCTCTCTCCATCCTTATTTGAGTAGGAGATATAGGAGTAGCGGAGCCACTTGTAAGCTTTATAAATCTTGCACTCCACTGACTCAATGTCTGAAGTTGGTGATGCCCGGCCTGGCTGCATCTCCAGAGCGGAAGTGCTCCGCTCAGGAGAGGAGGTGGGGGAGGAGGAGAGGTCATCCACTTTGATCTGGGGATAATCATAGTTGTCTTCTCCAATGTAGGTGTTGGCGGGCTTGGGTGGGGCGCTGGGCTTCTCTTCTCGGGGCGCCTTTTGCCTGCGCCGCATGGCATTCCGCTGCCGGGTGGACGTTCGGCGTTCATTCAGTTCCTCCTCGTCCTCAGAGCTACTAGAGCTGCTGGAGCTGCTGGACTCATCTTCGGGACTGGGAGACCGAGGCCGGGGGAAGAGATCCGTGTCCAGTTCAACCTCACAGGCATTTTCTTCAGAGTCCGACTCATTGGAGAGCGCCAGGAGGCGTTTGTCCTGGTAGCGCCGCAGAGTCGACAGGCACTGCTGGCGGGAAGTTGCATCCTTGCAAGCGGGTGGCGGAGGAGTTGCGGCCACTGCGTTCGAGGTGGTGACCCGCAGGGGCCCCAGGTGGAAGGCGCTGTCTGCAGACTCCTCCACTGTAGGTGGCGGGGAGCGGGGCAGCGAGGCCGAGGACTCGGAGTCGGTATAACCTGAGCGCTCGCTGACCCCCGCGTGCAGCTGGAGGATGGTGCTCTCGCTCAGGTCGCTGTCAGAGTCAGAGCTCCAGCCCTCGATCTCGCAGCGCACCAGCGAGTCAAAGAAGGCCCTTATCCGGGGGTCCTCCTGCACAGACTGGTTGGGTAGTCGTGCGACAGGCCACTCCCACTGTTCAGCACAAGGCTGCTGTACTCTTCGTGGGTGTAGAGGCAGCGGGAATCATCCTCAATCCGACCGTCAAGGTCTCCGGTACATCCTGGCTGCTTGTACGGGCTCCAGATCTGCACAGAAGGTGAAAACAAGACCAAGGAGGGCTGATTGGAAAGTATTCTAAACCTGGTGGCAACAGAGAACACCAAGGCAGAGCTTTCCCAGACCCTTCCTGTCATTTAGCCAGAACTTGTCAACCAACTTTAAAAATAGTCTTTATCAGACTGGATTATATTGGGCACATATGAAAACCGAGGCTTCTAACGTCAGATGTGGGAAAAAGGCTGGTCTAGGCCGCAGCATTAGTCACGAGACCTAAGTCCTGTCTCTAGGCCCAGGATAATCACCCACCATCTCCCCCAAAACCCACCTGCCCCTTTCACCTCCTCCCTCTATTAGAATGAAAATTATAATACTACCCTTCATAATCTCAGAGGATAGAGTATTTAAAGATTGGCCAATGTGTTCAAAACTCTCAGAAGACTGAAGCTGTGCACAGAGAGGCACCACTTTGCCAAAGTGAAACAGACCCAGCAGTTAGTCCTCTGTGACAGTTAATATTTTAGCCTCTAACTCCACTTCCCTCCAACTGCAACATTTCTATTTTTAACTAATGGGAATTGCTTCTGGAGCTTGATGAGAATAGCCAACTGCCTACATTGCACTTCCCTCTTGGACATGCAGGCATTAGTTACCCAGGAAACTGGGTTCTCCTAACCAGGGAGTTGCTGGCTTGCTCCTCAACTCTTCTGTTACTGCAGGGATAGTGCACCCATTACCCCAAGACTGCAGCCCCATCCCTTAACATCCCTCCACTCCATGGTCAGAAACACGGATTCATAGCTAAAATGTGGCTAAACTAGGATTCAAACTCAGGTCTGTCTGAATGCAAAGGCCCAACTTTACAAGTTGAATAAATTATGCAAAAATCAAGTTTGAGGTAAATTAAGCTGTCACTGCAAATGAGGACAATTAGCTTCACCTGACTGCCAGACTGGTCCACGGAGCAGCACAAAGAAGCTTGGTTAGATCAGCTAGTAGCCATGGCAACTCAGATAAAATTCCAGGCGATTTTCTTGCCTGACAGGCTGGTGTCTATCTTTAGATGGCACCCAACCCAGAAAACAGTGGCTCCTCATTCCCTATGCTCTGTCAAGACAATGGCTTCATTTCCCCAAAGCTATCCAAAGCCAAATTTGCCTCCACAAATTTACTGAAGCCTGTTCCCTCCATGCTTTACTTGAACTCCTGATTAGTGCTTCTTTGGAGGATTCCCCACTTCAAGAGGGGCTGAAGAAACCTTCTAGGTTAGCTCTCTACCAATTCCCAATTCAGATTCATCCCTCCTCCAACTTGTGTCCTGCCTACAACTCCTCAGGTGTTCTCCCCACTCGGGCTACATAATCTCACCCAGGGGAGTTTGAATACAGTGGTTCTCGAACTCTGGAGTGCACAAGAATCACCTGAAGAATAATTATAACATTGACTCCTGAGCCCCACCCACCTTTAAAGATTCTGATTCAATAAGTCATGGGGAGGTGTCAGGGTTCTGAATGTTTAACAAGCACTCAAGGAATGAGCAAGTGGAGGGGAACCAAGTTTTAAGAAACACTAGAATGTAGTCAGTAGAAAATAAGTAGCAGAAAACAACAGATATATCTAAAGAATCTCAAATCCTTTTTGAGATTCAACGTTTGAGAAACATTTAAACAGGGCCTTCAGCAACAGGCTCAAACAATAAATGATTATCTCTGAGAACAGATGTCCAAAGGAATAGAAGTTTGTGGCTTAGAAAGGAAAATGAGGGGTCCTAAAGGCAAAACCCTTAGGATGTTTTGTGGTTCTACACTATATTCTGAACCAAATCTCACACTTCCCCAGTTTAAAAAATGGTGAAATGTTACCAACCATGTGGTCAAACATGAAGCCAAATCTTTATGTACTTCACAGAAACTCAGAATTTGTTAACAGAAGCACAAAATATTAATAGCAAGATGCTGGTCTAACTAGCCAACAAGCTAGTTTTGAGGTTCTAATCTACTATCCAGAGCCCTACGTCTTCATGTAAAGAATGAAAACCAAAACACTGAAAGTCAGCTTTTATTTGGATTCTGGAATACATTAAGCTGAGGCAGAGTTTCATTCCTGAAGCTTGGAGTAATGGAACAGGAGGCAGGAGACTTGAGTGTGGGTTTTCACTCAGCTCCCTCATCTAAGCAGTGAATAGATGTATTACCCAATCCTAAGATTCATAGACAGCCAGTTTTCTAGCCTCAGGAGACTTGAAGCACAGAGCTGCTGGAGCAGGTAGAACAGATAGGAACCCCAACCCCATTGCATGTCCCTGTGCAAATGACTTCACCCTGTTCTGTAGAAAGTCCTTTTTCTCAGCTGTAGAAATAAGAATCATTTCTATAGTCCATACCAAAACACCAATAAATGTGGTGCTTTCTTTCATTTAGCAGCTGAATGCCTCAATCAGAAAGAGACTTTTGAACACAAGAAATACTAATGGTTCCTATTATCGCAGTCCTCCATCATCCATAATATAAATTTCAAGCATTTGTGAAATTGTTTATTTATTTACAGTGAAAGTGAAAAATGAAAATAGAACTTCCTGTGACATATGAAAGGTAGCTAGACATGCCTCCTCATAGGGCAAGGCTCATGAGAAAAGGAAGAGGGATGAGCAGCTCTCTCTTTCCAAGTCCAGTGAAAAGTTTAGCTCAAGAGGCTGCTGATGAAAAGGATACAGTTCAATTCTTTTTCAAATGTTCTCCACATTCTTTAATTTAGCCCACCTCTAGCCTACCTTCCCAGCCTTATACCTTAGTCCTCCCTTCTTGTGCTCTTCACTTAGGCCAAATATTATCATTTTGGCCTAAAACAGTCCTACACTTTGCTGCTTCTGAGCATTTATTCATAAGCACAATGCTTGGAACACAGTAGGTGATCAATAAATATTTGTTGACTCAATGAAGTAATTAAATATTCATTCCCTCCATTTAGAATTTTCTACCAATATTATGCCTGTTCTTTTTTTGCAGTGTTTATTCTTCAAAATCTAGTTCAAATATTACATAAACTGAGATTTCCCCCACATGGGAAAAAAATATCTCTCTCCTCCCACAGCACTTTTTAATGTCTCTTGTATACCTATTGCATTTCCCAAATTTATATTATGGATGATGGAGGACTGCGATAATAGGAACCATCAGTATTTCTTGTGTTCAAAAGTCTCTTTGAGGATGAGTCTGAAACTTTCTGATTGAGGCATTCAGCTGCTAAATGAAAGAAAGCACCACATTTATTGGTGTTTTGGTATGGACTATCTTTATTTCTTGTCTCTCCTACCAGGTCATCAATTCCTAGGGGACTTGCATTACCTTTCTTTACCTTTGCGTTCCCTATAGGGCCTAGCACAAATGGCACACAATAGTTATATCACACATATGGGGTGAAAAAATATTGGCCTTTGAGAAAAAAACAAAGTCAGTATTTGCCCTGCTGGTGTGGCTCAGTGACTGAGCGTCGACCTATGAACCAGGAGGTCACAATTTGATTCCCGGTCAGGGCACATGCCCAGGTTGGGGGCTCGATCCCCAACAGGGAGCATGCAGGAGGCAGCTGATCAATGATTCTCTCTCATCATTGATGTTTATCTCTCTCGCTCTCCCTTCCTCTCTGAAGAAAAAAAAAATTAAAAAAAAATATGATTTGCCCCATCTTGTCCCTGCTTGTGTTTAACTACAAAAGAGACCCCTCTTTTGCTAAATGTGAACATTCAAGGGGACAGAAAACCTGTTGTGGGTGAGAAAAGGCGGGCCTGACAACAGGGACTCTTCTCCTCTGGGCTAGGAAGGCAGCAGTGAAGGACACACAGGGAGAAGGTGGGATAAAGTGGAGAGAGAGAAAAGCAGGAGTCAGGCTGGAGTAGAGCATGGTGGGATAATATTCTTTGAGCCACTGACCCTCTCAGAAACAGCATGTAGGGAAGTGACATTTATTAAAACAGTCAGATATGGACGGGCACAGGTCATTCATAGGCTCTCTTGGGTGACATTTCATGGTTAGTGTTTTCACTTGACAGATGAGAGACACTCAAAAAGCTGCTTGACGGTACCAACTGACTTAAGGTTTCAAATGGCTTAATGTGCCTCCTGGTGGGACAGGATTCAGACCCTACTGGAACCTAGAAGCAGTAAGAACTATAGTTTAGTCTGGATAACCTCACAAAGAAAACATTTTCTTCTCTTTCTCCCCTGAGAGCTTGGCTAGTTTCCAACCTATGACCTTTAGGGTAAGGATTCCAGTTGACTAAATAGTAATTGGGGAGATTCAGCACAGAAGCATCCCAGATTGTATAGTCACGCAGGAAATTTTCTTCTAAAGGAGATGCCCAAGCAGAGCTCTCTGAGAAAAAGAATGACGCCAACAGGCCTGGAGAGGGCATGCCAACCCATTAGTCATAGGCCAAAGGAGAAAGGAAAGCAATGCAAGGGACAAGGCCAATTCAATGACCGCCCAAGCCAAGGACTACTGAGATGATCAAGTGCAGCAGGACATCAGCTTGCCTCCTTCCCACTAGCATGGTAAGTGTGGCAGTGCTCTGGGAAGAACAAAGAACAGGGCTCTATCCTAGCTTTACCATTAAGTAGGTGTGTAATTAACCTCACCCAGTTAACTTATATCATAAACATCATCATCTGTAAAAAGAAAAAGTCAATAAAAATGATCTATAAATCCTGTTCTAGCCCTATGGGGAAATGCATGCAATCATGAAAGTCACAGGACCAACAAAATCTAAATACAAAAAGCTGGAATAAGGACAAATAAGCATATTGATTGAAACTCCAACATTATATCTCTGATAGCTTTCCTTGCCTCAGATATAACTTGGTTTAATTTTAGATGCCTTTTTTAAAGAGCAAAACAAAATGAAAACTACCAAATCATCACAAACCAAGTTTTACTTTCCCCCTAAAACAGCGGTTCTCAACCTGTGGAGGTCAAATGACCCTTTCACAGGGGTTGCCTAAGACCATCGGAAAACACATATATAATTACATATAGTTTTTGTGATTAATCACTATGCTTTAATTATGTTCAATTTGTAACAATGAAATTGGGGGTCACCACAACATGAGGAACTTTATTAAAGGGTCGCGGCATTAGGAAGGTTGAGAACCACTGAACTAAGGGGATGGTGGCTTCTTTTTTTTTTTTTATAATATATTTTATTGACTTTTTTTTAAAGAGAGGAAGAAAGAGGGATAGAGAGTTAGAACATCGATGAGAGAGAAACATCGATCAGCTGCCTCCTGCACACCCCCTCCTGGGAATGTGCCCGCAACCAAGGTACATGCCCTTGACTGGAATTGGACCTGTGACCTTTCAGTCCACAGGCTGACGCTCTATCCACTGAGCCAAACTGGTCAGGGCGGGATGGTGGCTTCTTAACCTCCAGATGGGGTTTAGAAATCAGAATTCATCAGACTCAAGATCAAAGGCCACTGGAAATGTTGGAGCATACAGATGTTTCAAAGCCTAGTGACTATTTTAAAAATGGTCTTGAGACACAGAAGAGAAGATATAACGATAGAGCAGAGAGAGATCTGAAGATATTGATTCTAGTGTGATGTGGCCACAAGTGAAGGAATATTGGTAACCTCCAGAAGCTGCAAGAGGGTGCTCCCTAGGCCTGGCTATCTCTAGAGCTTCAAGGACAGGAAGGGAAGCAATTTCTGTTTCTTGAAGTTGCATAAAGTATCTGCCAGGGTTTATCATGTGTCCAAAAGAGAGACAGTGCACATTTCATAAATTTACCTCTTTCTGACCATGAGGAAGAAACAATTCTTCTGTTTTCTATTGATGCTTTTCAAAACCCAGTTCTTTACAAAAGCCTCTAAGTGAGTATCTTGTGAGTTAATACGTCAATATCTATGTATATAAAAGCCTAAGAGACCATTAAGACTGGTTGACCGGTCGCTATGATGTGCACTGACCACCAGAGGGCAGACGCTCAATGCAGGAGCTGCCCCCTGGTGATCAGTGCGCTCCCACAGCCAGGCAACCTCCCGTGATCCCTCCCCCCAGCCGGCCCCAATGGCCCCAATGGGGTCAGCCAACCAACCTCCCACAGTCCCTCCCTACAAACTGGGCAAGACACCCCGATTGCCCAATTGCTGGCCAGGCCAAGGGATCCCACCAGTGCATGAATTTGTGCACTGGGCCTCTAGTATTTGAATAAATGACAATACATTGTTCCTTATCTTAAAAAAAAAAAAAAAGGTCCTGAAAGGAGTTAAGTTTTAAATCACTCTTGTTAAAATCAATTTTTCAATATTTTATAGTATGCCAAAATAATTGAGAATTTTAATAGACTGTTAGTACGTTTACATATGAGGTCCTACATACATTTCTTCCAACTGTGAATTGTAATAATTTCTCTAAAAGGACAGAATAGGAAGGTGCCTCACCTTGATAATCTTTTCTACACCAGAAGAGCAGATCATGTAGGTGTGGGGGTTAAATCGGACCTGGTTAACAATAGACCGATGCCCTTTCAGCACCATGAAGGCTCCGTTGACCACTCTACCAATGCCACCTGGGAAGACAGAAGGAAACAAAAATCCAATGAGGAAAGTATATATGTTCCAGTAATGGCAGGCAAACAGCTCTGAATTGGAATCGAGTTTTTTTATTAACTATTCCACCAGCAGATAGCTTAATCTTACAGATAAAGTTGCTATGGGAAGAGGGAAGATGAAGTATCTCTCGGCATATGTGCTCTTACCAAGAGCCTTTATTTAGCCTTTAAGCATTGCCCACGCCCACCCACTGTAATTCCATTGTCAATGAAGCTATATCCACTTAAAACATTTCATAAGTTTTTTGATACCAAGATAGCATCCAAGTGTTACCTTAGAAAAAGCCAGTCATGACCAAAATGAGACTGAACTGCTTGGGAACAGTTAGGCAGCTGAGCCAGGGACAAGCAGAACCAGAAGCATGTAATTATTCAAATGCACAAAAACATTTCTGGTCCATTTGCCCTCAATTTCTATGATGCAGATAGTAAAATAAACAAACAAATATATAAAGCCACTGGGAAATAATGGGAGATATACTTTTTTTTTCCCCTGGAAGAAGGGAAGAACTAAGGATAAAGAGAGGAGATTTGGGTCACTTTCTTAATAAGCAGAGCCCACGTTTTGAGAATCTGATTTAAAGCGCGTGGGCCTTAAAGACACCATGTCTGGATCAGAATCAAGAGGCCACGACAGAAAGCTGTACTTTAAAGACCATCCCATAAACTTTTTTCTTCAATGGCTGAGAAAAGTACCAGAGGCCTGGAACTTGCACCATAAATGAATATGTCATCTTTTATGAACTTGGGATAATCCCAAAGGTTCAACCTCACTGGTCAGGACATCACAGTCACACAGAACACATGCACCCAAGTCCTGAGCAAGGTTGCTTCTGAGTAACCGTCAACAACAGCTCAGTACACACAGGCCAACCTGTGACCCGAGCAAAATGGCAAATACGATGCATTCAGACACAGACAAATGAGTGTTCACTTATCTAAGCAATAAATACCTTCTTAGTCTCTACCAGGAGCATGGCATACCCTAGAAACTATACCCTAGTGGTCTAGTTTTGGCTCCACATTCCACACCATCACGCTCCCAATTCCATCTTGCTCAATATCATTCCAAACATGTACTGTTTCGGTGTTTGGAAGGAATATAACTAAAACATCACTTCTCTAGAAACATTCTGGCTCTGGGGAAGGGGGTCCTCTGCTTTTGGCATCCCGATACAACTCCTCTTTTGCCTCATGGAAGATATTCCTCTTTATTGCCATGTAAATATATTTTTTTATAACAGCTATGTCTCAGACTGTACTGATCTGTCCCTTCACAGTGCCAACTTATACAGTACTAGGTGCTTCCTCTACTTGGTGGGTGACAAAAATATCCTTTGCCTAATCCCCCTGCCACATACTTGACATTACTAATATTTGAATTGTCCAGGATGGATAATACATTTAAAGCTATTCATATCTCAGCCTAACATCAAATTTGCTAATGAACCATAAAGGAAAAGAGTGACTAGACATAGAACTGTTATGATTTTATGAAGAAAAGCAGGATCAGAAAAGGTAAAGCACCAAAGTAGGATGCCACGACGGAATCCCCTAGACAGCCTCAGTGCCCTGCATTCCTAGGCTGGAGTGATGGGAGGGAAAAGTAACCTGAATCTACTCAAAATAAAAGGGATCCGTGGGAATCTAAAACAGTTGTCTCAATACAGGAATCTTACCACCACCAAGAAGTTCCTTCAAGTCTAATTTTGTTCTATATGAGGTTGATTCAACAAATAGCATTACTGCTCACGGTCTCTTCTGAATTCTGTTTAACAACATCCTACTCCTATCTATACCCCCATGGGGGTGGGTCACTAGCAAAGAAACTTCAGGTTAAACTAGTACCAATCTCTTGTTTAATCCTACAAGGGATTAAAGTGCCTCCAAGAAAAGGAACTAAAGTAACTCAGAGAATTTAAGTGACTTCTTCCAAGTCATACAGCTAGTAAATGGCAGAGCCAGGATTTGAATCAGAGTCAATGTGGCTATAATGCCTAATCTACTACCTTTCTACCATATTGGTAGCCTTTGAGAAATGAAAGGATTTGAACAGGCATGAAGTAAGAAGCTCATAACTGATATCCAAATCTTTCTAAATCTTTATCTTATAGATTGGTTTTCTTTTTCTTTTTTTCTTCTTTGAGAGAAAGGGGAAGGGAGAGGGAGAGAGAGAGAAACATTGATGTGAAAGCGAAACATCAATTGGTGGAGTTTCCTCAAAAAGTTAAAAATGGAACTCCCATTTGACCCAGTGATCCCACTTCTAGGAATATATCCCAAGAAAACAGAAACATCAATCAGAAAGTATATATGCACCCCTATGTTCATAGCAGCACAATTTACCATAGCTAAGATCTGGAAACAGCCTAAGTGCCCATCAGCAGATGAATGGATTAGAAAACTGTGGTACGAGGTGGGGGGCGGGGCAGGTTGGAAGGGATCAATGGGAAAGGGAGGGGGCATATGTAATACTTTCAACAATAAAGAGCAATAAAAACAAACAAACAAACAAACAAACAGCCCATCAATTGGCTGCCTCCTGACCAGGGATTGAACCAGCAACCTTTTGGTGCACGGGGCAACACCCAACCAACTGAGCCACACTAGCCAGGGCTGGTTTTCGTTTTAAGTCCTGAATTTAAATGGGGTATCAATGCTTGAAAATTCCAGACCACAGAAAAACCATTTCTATTACTCTTTCGTGCACTGTAACCTCATCTGGTTTCTCTTCTTGGTAGCAATTTTAATATGAAGTCTTCTCTCTTCTTTCCACCCAAACTGATACCTAGGAAGTCTGAAAAAGAGGAGGAAGCCAATAGACCAAGAGACTGATAGTGTAAACAGCTACAGAAAGCATTATTGCTTCCATTTGTTTAAGGTAACCAAAGCTATGTACACAGAATCATAGCAATGAAAGGGCTTCAGAAAGGTTCTCCACAGTTTTTTTTCTGGTTCCCAGGTTTCAAGTGATTGGCTACAGCGGCTACTATATAGTTAGATACAATGATTTTTAGAGAATAAATTATTATCAGTTCCGGAGATTGAGTAATTCAGATAGATAAGATTTCTTTATTCTGAAATGGCTAAAGTAAAAATACCAGCATCAGTAAGAATGCTGGGGTCTCCTCTCCTCCATTACTTAGCCAGACCCTGCCCATCAATAGATGGACCAAGTTGAAAGGAGCTAGGGCTAGGGCTAGGCAGAGATTATTTCTTCCAAGAACTACGTGACCTATATATTCCCCTGTGGGTCATCTCTAGACTATAGGTCAGAGGCCTTGTGAGGATCAACCTCACCCATGGTTACCAAATGAAGCTATGACCTAATCATGAATAATGGGTACCAATGAATAAATTAGGACACACCCAGGAAAAATGGCACTCATCCTTGAGCTGTCATTTATTTATACAGTTCTGTACAGACTGATGGTCATTTCTCTGGTGCATCAGTTTGGCCAGTTCAACCAAACATGTTAGCACCACTTTGTAGGTCTCTTTAATAAGTCAAGGCCAAAGTTCCCTTATTTCCATCTTTCCTTTGGTTCAGTAGGGATAATAGGGGGATGGGGAAGGCTATAAATCACTTGACTCTAAAACCCCAGAAAATAAAATAATTGGGCCATCTCATAAGATTCCAACATCAGTGCCGAAACCGGTTTGGCTCAGTGGATAGAGCGTCGGCCTGCGGACTGAAAGGTCCCGGGTTCGATTCCGGTCAAGGGCATGTACCTGGGTTGCGCGCACATTTCCGGCGGGGGATGTGCAGGAGGCAGCTGATCGATGTTTCTCTCTCATCGATGTTTCTAACTCTCTATCTCTCTCCCTTTCTCTCTGTAAAAAATCAATAAAATATATTAAAAAAAAAAAAGATTCCAACATCAGTGACTCACTCACTACCTTAGGGAGTTTAGGAAACACAAAGGGACTCAGAGATGACCCCTTGCTTAGAACTCTGAAAAAGACCTTTCTAAAATGCCAAGGCCAAATGTTCCCCTAGAGAAGAGAAGGCTCCAAGTGTATAGGTCCTCACTTCCCTCTCCTTCTTTACCTATGCTCCTCTTTTCACAACATTCAGCCAGAGACTTGTTCCTCAGGCTCCTCAAGGGTCAGGGACACCACTCTCATTTCTCACTAACTTGTTACTTCGCTTTTTGTCAATTTAATTTGCTTCAACAAAGTCCTCCAAGAATGACTATGCTTTCAACTCAAAAGCTAAAAGCAACCTGGTCATATTTTTTTGATGCCTTAGTCTAACAGCAACTTATCAATCATGTTACAAAGTGGTCCTCAATGACACTTGGGGCTACAGAACAGGACACTGCTCCCCATCTTCCCTAATCTAGTCCATCAGGAAATTCTGATGGTTTTACCTTCATAGTATATCTAGATTACAACCCTATTGCCTCAGCTCATGCCACTATCACCACACAACTATATAATGCGACACTCTTGCCAGTTCTCATTTCTATGGTTGGCAGCCTCGTTCAACTCAGTAACTGGAGTGATCCTGTTAAAAGAAGTCGCATCATGTCATTCCTCTGCTCAGAATTCCCTAATGGCTCTCTATTTCACTCACAATAAGAACCCATGAGACACCCTGTGTCCCACTTACCTCTATGACTTTAATCCCTACATACGCTCCCCCCTCCCTCACTCTGCTTAAACAGATTGATTTCCTTGCTGTTTCTCATACACACCAGGCACATTTTAACTTAAGAACCTTTGCACTGATTTTACCTGAAATGTTCTTCCCCCAGATTTCTGCATGGCTAACTCCCTCACCACTTTGAGGATTTGCTCAAATGTGATTTTCTCCATGAGGCCTATACTAAATATCCTATCAAAAACTGCATTTCCCTGGTCCCCCTCCCCCAATACCACTTCCTGTCCCCCTTATTCTACTTTTCCTTTTCCATGGTACTTCTAACTTTTTAAACATAGTATATAATTTATTG